GGTAATTAAGCCACTAAACCAGCAGTTAAAATTTCTCGATCAAGTTTTGGGCGAAATGAGAGCGTCCAGAATGTCGGTACCATGATGGTGACTGGTACCATTTTATCGACTGGAAAATCGAAAAGTGGTTGTCATGGAGAAGCCTGTGTGATGCCAAAACACATCGAAATTTCGTTATAAGTTGAAAGCTTCCTCATATAGCAGTAGAAAAGAGTCTTTGATACACCTATCTATCAATTCATTGTAAACTTGAACTTGAGAATAAAGAAAGAAGTTGTAGAAACTATCTCACCTATGTAGCTGTACCTTGAGGCGCTTAGGCCACCGTCAGGACCTTGTGCACGACGTAGACCGAATTCAAGAAGTGATACGTTATTACCAGCTACCATGCGATATCTAGCTGCATTCGTTGCCATCAGACTTGCGTAATTTACCAGAGTCAATAGAGTTGTTTCCAGTAATTGGACCATTATTAAGGGACCCTCCACCTTCATTAATGGCACTCTATAATTATTTTTAGACATAACGGATAATGATCATAAAAAATATTCACCATTCCTTCCGAAAACCATTGAACGAGTACAATTCAGATACATGATTTTATGAGATATACGAGAATTAATAGGTTTATAATAGAATAAAATTATTCACCTAGGAAAAACAACAGAACCTTCTTCAATAGCATAAATCGTAACATCCACTGGTGTTAGATCTTTCAGGTACTCAAAAAACTCGGGCTCAACAGACTCTGGCATCGTTGTTTTCAAGTACTCAATATCTACAATATGAATTCAACCCATTTGACCTAGAAAATCCTTGAAATCTCCTAAGCCAACTATAATTACCACTGTCTGAATACCGGAACTTTTCCATGAACTTCAGGCATTCCCCCAGACCCGCGAAGATAGTAAACTCTCCCCTGAAGGGATTTTTTCGAAAGAATAAATCAAAAGTCGTAAAATCATCCATTTTACCGCCTTTCCAGTAAGCATACGCCATAGTAATCTGATAAAGATCTGAAATATCAAAATAACAATCGCTCAGGCTCTTCATCGCGTCAATAGTCTATGATTAATTCAAAGCTGACACGTAAACTCCTCGTGTATTTCTATAATTAAAGACAGAGAATCATGAAAGTATGATGTAATGTCATTGTATCGATGAATTAATGATAAGTTATCAGTTTATAATAGCCGGTTATCAGAGGGAATTCACAAAGATGGATTCAAGGTTACTCCACAGACTCCAGGAATCCGGTAGCCTTTAATGACCCAATAAAAACATCCAAGGAGCAATAAATCGAATAAAAAGGGAGGGCTTTCATAACTCGAGAGAATTCATAAAAACGCAATGACATTTTGGAGGTTAAATAATTGAGAATAAAATTATTACCCGTGAGGAGAGGCTGTACGACGCCATTTTGCTGTGTACCACCCGTCAGTCTCTCACTTTCGTTCAACATATTCAAGTAAATAAACAAATAACGTAACAATTGGAATTCACAGGAATTTAAATCCTGAACAAGTCGAACACTGCGATTATTGTGTTTCGGGAGAAGTCGGGACTCATTGGGAGTCACTAGATGGCGGCTTTTGCTGTTTGAATATTTTTCACGTTTTTGTTGTTGAAATCGAGAGTTGGACTGCTTGAAAGAAACTAAACATGCATTCAGAGAGTTCGTGCAGTTATATTGCTAATGCTGTGCTTTCCTCACTCGATTTACCACCGACTCCTACTCCCCCTTTTCCATTGCTGAGCAAACGCAGAAGTCACTAACATTTAAGACGATATCATATCGTCGTATGAACAACGAACCCGCGTATGTATCATTTTTTTGCATTCCATCTTCAGTACCAATTTGACAAATTTTTTAATATTTCAATGGCACTAATTTTCGGTCCTTGTGAGAGGTGTGAATCAAAATTTTTAGGATGTTCAACACCCTTTTTGTCAACATTCATGGTTTTACCGTTTTCCTGGCGAATTGTTTATGGGCTGACGTGAAAAATAAAGAGATTACTCCAATGATGATATCATCCGAGGCTGATATGAGCTCATATTCCTCTCGCAATGACGGCAAAAAGTCTACGTTCCATACTAATTGTAATTGCTAACATTGTAAAATCGTTGGTACTCTCCAGAGAATATTTCAAATCCAATGAATCCAGGCAACGATTAATGAATTTACCATCGCCACGTAAATATTGAAATCATGATTTTTACTCTTCCATACGCGTATGTATCTTGAGATTAATAATGTTATTTCACGGTCTCTCTGTTTGCATGTGAAATTGGGGCTGACGTAATAGATGGATATCCGTTGAAAATGATGGGTTTGTTGTTTCTCTGGTACAGCATGCAGATAAGCGATATAAATAAGTTGGTGTATTTTTTCATAGATAAATCGTGATTGCGGAGTTCCGATTTCCGAGGATTTTTCATGTGACAATAATTTTTTTGTCCTGACATATTCAACATTAAAAATTGATTAACCTGAAATAATCATTGGATGAATTGTCTGAAATTAATTGAATTGCATGGGAATTTTCAAATGTAGGATTGGTGAAGTATCTGCGGCGGCCAATGTTCGATGCAACGAACGAGTTGTCCAGGGCAACTGCCGCATTATCGTAATAGAATTTTTTTATAATGACACCAACTGCATTGAGGGGAATTCGAATTGAGAATTTTTTGTGACAGCCAGACATTTTTATCATCCCCTGATAACAATTTTTGCCATAATCAGTGATAACGTGTGTACGTATGTGATGTAAGTGAGCATCAAATGAATTTTTCCACTCGAGAAATTGCAGCCGTTGCATTATGAGGAACAATTAACAGCGGAAATAAAATAATTTTGGGTAATGGATCCTAATGAAAATTAAAAAACATTAACTTTCTGGTATTAACGTCTGGTACTGCCATTATTGTCGGGATGAAATAAAAACTTCAAAATTTATTAGGTAATTAAAATCGTTGATTTTCATAATTATGCAGACGCTGCGGTCCATTGAGACCGTTACAATTTTTAGATAGTACAATTGGCACATATTTCATTCAGTAGATTTTCTATAAACTTTTCTTTGTTGATTGTTTACTGTGTCTTCCTCGGTTTTTCAATTTTTTTAAAGTGGAATCTCTAGTTCACTAAACTAATCAGACTTATTTTCATACTACGGGATTTCTAGCTAGTTCCTTGGTAATTTGTGAGATTTATTCTACCGTCCATCTACGCAATTACGTAATCGATATGGCTACTCACAATTCATTGTTTTTAGTGCAGAATTACGGTTTATACAATCTACTTTGACACTTATTCTCGTACAGTCTTATTACCATCGTTTACATTGACATTGATTATTGTTTTCATCTAACACTGATCGCAGTTGATTAAATTCCATTTGCTCCACTCTATTCTATGTCTCCATTTATTTCATTTTTCGAGAAAAAATTATATCAATTGATGCATAATCAAGAAAATCCATTTTGCAAACTTAAAAATCACTCTGCATTATAAAAAAAAACAAAATAAAATAACCAACATTGATTATATTCAGAGATCCCTGATTTATCACAGACCTATTTTTATACAAGTAATCTACAATTATTACAATTTTCAATAATTCATCATCAAATACCAAATCGTAGACGCAATTGAAATGGATCAAGTCACTTTTTTCGTATAAATTTCGTATTTTAAATGTCAAAAGCCTTTCAATATTTCGTGTTTTCTATTAACTCAATGAGAGGTGTTACAGAAGATATCTCTTCATGTTTTGTAAACATTTGCGTGATCTATTCCTCGCAGCTAATAATTACTCTTTGTACACCCCATTATCCACTAAACTTCAAAAAAACTTCTATCCAAAATGATAATACAAATAAAATTGATATGCTTCATGGGAATTTTTATTGTCACGGGGATAACGAAAAATGATTGCATTAAAAATCTATTGATTTCTTCTTCGAGATTAATTCTTACGTACACTAATTTTCTAAAAATATACCCTCTTCGTTTAAATTGATATTTCACCTATATTATGACCTAAAGATAGTTCGATATCACCTTTGGACTTTTGGAATGAATTTTCTCGTCATTCTCTAATTTATTTTATCTCGGTATTCACCTCATTAGATCGGCTGCTCGTTGTCTGTCACGATGTACCTCACGTGGGTGCATTCTTTTCCGATGTGAAAAGCAATTTCCAGAGCTGGCAAATGCCTTTGGACAGTAGGGACATTGATATGGTCGAGCTCCAGTATGCTGATTAATGTGGAACTTCAAGTCTTGATTGCGTTTGAAGGTTTTATCGCAGAGAGGACAGGCGTGCGGTCTCAGATCTGAATGTGTGATGCTGTGAGCACGAAGAGTTGAATTTGTTGGATAAACACGTCCACAAACACTGCAGGGAAACTGAATCCCTCCGTGGTATTCTTTGTGGCGAAATAAATTCGATTGGGTTTTAAATCTGTGAAATTTAAATTATCACTGAATCGATTCTCAAGACGACTTTGCCTCATCCTACAACTCCAAATAAAAAATTATTTTCAATATCCGAATTGAATAACGAAACAAGATGACTATTAAAAATTGAAGAAGTAAAAAATTTCCACTCGCAATCAAAATGAAAAAAAAAAAAATGGAATAATTTCTTTTTTTTCTTTGGGAGTTGGTGAAATTTTAATTTATAAATATTTTTTTATGAGTCCCAAACTCACATTCTCCCACAAATATCACATCCATATTTTCCTTTAGGCCTATGTGTTTCCAGGTGGACCTTTAAATTTCCCTTCGTTGATATTCTCTTATTACAAATCGGACAGACGAAACTCGAATTACCACCGAATCCATTGGAATTGTCAGAATCATGATTGAGGGATGGAACACCATTATTCGAGTGAGTTTCTCTTGGACTGCTCTCTTGCATCGATTTATCCTCCACGTAATTACGATCAGCCCTCGGTAAATGCGACCAGAGATGATTCTGAAGAATAAGTTGTGAAGCAAATGTTCTAGAACAGATTGTGCAGTCGTGAGTCTTCTGGCTTGAGTCATCAGATTGCTCTTGGTCCTCTTGAGGTATCGGTGAGTCTCCTCCATTAATTCTATGAGAAATTTCTCTGTCTTCACTCGTCTCTCTGAAAAATATTGATGGATCATGATTGAAATTGTGGCATACGCCATTTTCTACTCGCGTAAAGTGTATTCCGTAAAAAATAAAAAGTTATCAGCAATAACTCTTTAAATTGAAAACAAACTTTATGCGCAGTCGTTTTTTATCGTAATCGGAGTCATCGTCGGAAACATCTGGAGATGCTGAACACTCCAGACCACATTGGAGAAATATCATGGGATCGACCTTGACTTCCATCTCCTCCGTGGTGGAGGGAATTCCCTCAGTCTCTGGTAATCGCGCGGGGGCGACCGAAGAGTCCGGCGAACTCGGAATTTCTGTATCTACTCCATCCTATTAATTCAATTTATACAAATGATGATTAAATGAGTTGAATTAATCGCATTGAATTCATCCGGGGATTATGCCTAATCAATTAATTAAATTCTGCGGCTTTGGAGTTGACGAACAAATAATTGCTTGAGGGAAAATTGAATTAACTCTATTTACTCATTATTACCGGTTCTAGCTTGTCGGGAGAATGCAAATTTGTAGAACCCACTGGTGAATTAAATTTATTCACAACTCACTAATAATTAACAAATGGATTTTTATGGAGTCATATTTAAAATCCTTTCCCTCAATTTCAAACGAAATCATCAATATTTTTGACGGAAGAACTTGAATATTGCACTAGGGTATGGAATTATCTTCCATGCAGAAGCTTTTTTATGCAGTGGTTTTTTATTCGTTTACTCTAATTGAAATTCATCAACTATCAATAAACGATTCAGTGGAAAAGCGAAAATTCTGTCAGACAGAATCACTCAAATATTTATTTGTTGAATATTAACGAGTGGGCAGTTGGATATCGAATCAATACGTTAAAAATAATAATAATAAATGAATAATGATTGAATAATAATTGAATAATAATTGAATAATAATTATTTCATCAATCTTTCAAATATTAAAAAAATCTTGACTTGACCAAAAAATTTCCAAAAAAGTCCAGTTAATTGAAAACTTCTTTAAAAAAAATATCAACTCACTTTGTTCATCAAAATTGTTCTCAAGAGTTGCCTATAACTCCTCTCACTCTCCTCACACAAATCCTCATCCTCTCGCTTGATCTCATCACCACCGGAAGTTGCGTAAAATTGGGATTTGAGTCTCTCTTGTGCTCTGTGTGCCATATTGGCGAACCGATGAATTCCATCGAGTCGCCTAATGCAAGTTTCGCAAACAACTTTCGGTAGTCTGTCCTCCCTGGACACCTGAAAATAAAATAATCAGTGCAAAAAAAATAGAATAAACGATCGTATTGGATTCCGGTGAATTTCATTGACTAAAAGTGATTCGACCGATATAATAATAATTGGTAGATGCGGTCGATTTGCCGTCGAACGTCACCAATTCCCAGGATATTTTGCTGACGCTATTGCATCCCCTACTCCAGTACCAACACCGATGCACTGTGCAATTATATTTATAGATATCGATAGTTATATTACAATACTGGGGTATCGCGAAACGGGAGAGGTAACGAAAAAAAAAGAGAGGTAACACGGTATACAACCCTCATAGTCCCTGCAAATCGATAAAATGCTAATTTTTTTCACACTCTGCGGACAAAATGGTCGACCCATTGTCCGAACTAATTAAATGAGTCACAATTTATCATTTGAAATTTCCATGAATCACGTGAGTGGC